GACGACACAGATTCTGGAAATAGCCAAACCTGTGAGGAAAAAAAAAAAAAAAAGCCAGTCTGTGAGAATTTCTTCTGCCTGTCACAATCAATGCGGGTCTCATGCAGGATAGGCCCATTCCGTAGAACTCCCAGCACTGACCCACTGGATGCAAAACAAAGGAGGATGATATTTGCTACAGTCAGCATCTCCATAGAACCCCAGGGTTGCTCCTGTTGCAACTCTTTCAGATTTTTTTTTATCCACTGCAGAATGTGGCTTATAATGGCAGCTTGACAGACCAGTGATGATTTTTTTCCATATTTAAATACTTCGGAGTGGCCCAAGAATGCCTTATAGTAGAAACATCTTTATGAAGTTTCCTCCTGTTCTTTAGGACTCAGCCTGCCTGAACTTTTGTTTGTAATGTGCAAATAAGCAAATTAAAGTTCCTGTTTCATGATTTTTTCTTGTTCCTCAGATGCTGCTTTGCATTTGATAAAGTGAATGCTGGTATGGGAATGTCAGATAAACATAGGGAGGATCCAAACTGCCAAAACCAGCATTTCCTCCCTTTCCATAGCAACTCATCGTTAGCTGAGCACTGTGGCACCTGCCTATGTCTCTAACTTCTCGGGAGACTGACGCATGGGAATTACTTGAGTCTCAGCATCCAGACCAGTCTGGCTAATACACTGAGAGTTGACAAACAAAAATGAAGCCAACAAACCCTGAAACCCCTGAAAACTCCAGAGCTACACAGAAAAGTATAAACAAGAAAGCAAAGAATAATCATTATAATTTCTTATTAAATAGTAAATGGAAGTAACTTTTGAATGCAACCACTTATTCTTTTAAATGGATTATTTTTTTCATTGAAATCTAAGTTTAATTACATATAGAGTAAGTTTCACGAGCTTAAAACTGTTTTACAAGTTTTCATTGGCATGTACTCATTTGGTATAGTAGTGGTTTCACAAAGACAATTTCATCCAAGTATCACACTTGTAATGTTTTGAACATTCCATACTGCCTCACCCCTACTTCTTTCTTTTTCTCTGATGATAGCCATTCCAACAAGGGCGAGTTAGAGACTGTCCTAATGAGAGGAGGAAGACATTTACAATTAGATTTCAAGCCACTGGAAAAGGAAATCAAAGAAGATATTAGATTATGGAAAGATATTCCTGGATTGGCAGAATTAATACTATGAAAGTGGCTATTCCCTATTCTACAAAAATTAATCTGTGGTTTTAATGCAATGCCTGTTAAAATGCAGAGACCGAACTTCATAGATACAGAAAAAAAATTCAAAATTTCTATGGAATCACAAAGACCACAAGTAGCTAAAGTGATCCCAAAGAGTAAGAACACATCTGGAGGTATCAGAATAGTTGACTTTAAATTGTAGTATAGAGCTATAGTGATAAAAACAGCTTGGCATTACTATCACACCAGGCAGGTAAGGCAATGGAACAGAATAGAGGGCCCAGAAATAAGCACACAAAGGTGTGTCTGCCTCATTTTTGACAAAGGCTACAAAATATACACGGGACATAAGATTACCCATGCACCAAAACACTGGCAAAACCCGAATCCACCTGCAGAAAAATGAAATGAGATTTATATTTTCCACATTGTACCCACTAAAGACCTCCATTTAAAACTGGAAACATAGAAACTTCTAGACAAAACATACTCTTCAGACAACGGGCAATAATTTCTGACTAGAACATTAATAGCACAGGAGCTAGTGCCAAATATCAATAGATAGGACTACATTAAATCAATGCAAAATTTAATTTGCGTTTACCCAACAGCTAAATGTGCTAAACAAACTTCCAAATGTTAATTCAACATTTGAATTCCATCTTTTGAGAACTGTTTATTTCATTAGCTTCTTTCTTCATTGGATTGCTTGATTTTTCACATTTACTTTTTGTTTTAATGTTATAGATATTAATCCCTTCCCTCTACCCATCTTTATTTCTCACACTTACATGATCTCTCTCTGTCTCTCTCTGTCTCTCTCTCTCAAACACACACACACACACACACACACACACACACACACACACACACACAGCTAGCAATGGTTTTCTCCCATTGTCTTGGCCATCTCTTCACTCAATTAACTGTCCCCATTTGCTGTGTGGAGGCATTTTAATTTCATGCAATCTTACTTGTCATATTTTGGAGCAGCAGGGGGTTATTTTCTGTGCTAGTACAGATCTGTTCAGAAAGTTTCTGCCTGAACCTATCTCTTGAAATGGTTTTCCTTTTTTTTTTTTTTTTGCCTCTACCAGATTTGAAGTTGCACATTTTACATTAATGCCTTTGATCAATTTTGAATTGATTTTTTGTGAACAGTGAGAGGCATGGCTCTATTTTCATTCTTTCACGTGGATATATTTTCCTAATGCTATTTATCAGAGAGGCTGTCCAACCAAATATATGTGTGGCTTCATTTCTGCATTATTTATTCTATTCAGTTGGTCTGCAAGTTTGCTTTTGTCCAAGTATCATGTTGTTTTTGTTACAGTGGCTTTGTAGTAGAATTTGAGACTAGGCATTATGACCCCTAAAGCATTGCTATTTATATTTAGGATTGCTTTGGATATTGAGATCTTTTGTACTTCCATATAATTTTAGTACTTTTCCTATGAAGAAAGTCATTGTAATTTTGATTGAACCTACTGTGAGCATAAGTCTTTTCACGTTCTAGTATCTTCTTTTATTTCTTTGGTATTTGAAATCTTCATCATAGAGGTTTTTGTACATCTTTGGTCATGACTACTCCTAGGTATTATGAATGAGATTTTTTTCTCCTATTTCTTGTTATGCTTGTTATTGGTATGAAGAAAGCAACTGGATTTGTATGTTGATTTTGCATTCTGTTATTTACCTAGAAGTGTTTCTTAGTTATAATGGTTTTATTTGTTTTGTGGAATCGTTAGGGTCTTTGAACTATCGGATGATGTCATCTATAAGTTAATATTTTAACTTTCCTCTTTTTTATTTGTTGCCTTTTATTTCTATTATGTTTTTAGCTAGGACTTCACACATTGCATTGAGTGAATACAGTGAAAACCTTTGTCTCATTCCTGAAAGGAGAAATGCTTTTAGTTTTTAACTCACTCAGTATAATATTGGCATCTATTTCTCATATATAGCCTTTGTTATGTTAAGTTATATTTCTTCTATTCTCATTTTTTCATGGATTTATCTTGAAGGAATGTTGTACTTTGTCAAAGGTCATTTGTATATCTACTGCTATGGTTATATGATTTCTCTGCTTCTCTGCTCTATTGCTTACTTTGTTCTTGAGGTGATAAGATACCATGACCAAAGAAAGTTCATTTGGGCTTTCAGTTGTACAGGGTAAGAGTCCATCATGGCAGGTAGGCAAGGCAGCAGTGCCAGGCATAGTGGCAGGAGCTGCAAGCTGAGCAATCACATCTCAATGCAAGTGTAAAGCAGAGAGAGCAGAACTGGGAATAGGCTAAGTCTATATAATCTCCCCATGATGGACTTATGCCAGCAATGCAGTACCACCTACTCTCTGCCCCCAAAAGCAGGGCCACTAAGCAGGGCACATGTTCAAATTCCTAAGCCTATAGGGAACATTTCGCATTCTAACTACCCTGTGTGCTTTACTCCAGGTTCTGTCTGTGTTGATTCATAGTTGTATCCTTGATTGAAGTCAGCTTCACCATGGAAAATGACATTTTAAGATATGCTATTGCATTCAAATTGCAAATACACTTTTAAAAAGATTTATTTATTTTATTTATTATGCATAGTGTTCTGCCTGTACATAGGCCTGCAGGCCAGAAGAGGGCACCAGCCACCATGTGGTTGTTGGGAATTGAACTCGGGAAGAACAGCCAGTGCTCTTAACCACTGATCCATCTTTCCAGCCTCAAAATGCAATCCAAAGTACTTGTACTTTTGTAAGTTGTCAAAATAATACATTCCTAGATTATTAGGTTGGAGATAAAATTCTCTTTGAAAACATTAGATATATATATGTCTGTGAGTAAAGTCTATTCACATGACTGTGTGTGTGTGTGTGTGTGTGTGTGTGTGTGTGAGTGTGTGTGTGTGATGGAACCCTAAGGCAAGAGTGTTATACTGCATAGATTCTATTCCTGGTGCGTTCTTTGATTCTTTGGTCAGAAGCAGACTGCATCCTTTGGATCTGCTCTAGCAGAATCATTTCCTCAGATCTTTTCCCTCAGGAAAAACAAATAGGCTGATAGATATTTATTCATGGAGAAATCACTTACAACAGAGACAGATGACGGCCAGCAGGTTCCAGTCCAAGGATGCCTTCGAAATGCTGTCTCTGAACAGGAAGAAAGAGAGAGCGCTGGGGTCCCAGACCCCAGACCTGGGTCTCTCAGCTCACGCCTGCACCAGTCCCACCTCCCAATGGGCGTGGTCAGTGCAACAGGTGCAGACGGGGTGGATATGTCACTACACACAACTTAACTTCATCTGAAATGGACTGCTTTTTACACACAGGCAAACCAGTGTCACCAGTGTTCTGGCTTCTTCTTCCTCAGGCAGCCTTCTTTCCTCAGCTAGGTCTACTCTCATGGCCGATACTACTGCACCAACCACCTACTGTAACTAGAACGTCCATACTTAAACTGGGGTAGTAAAGGCAGCTGTGTAAGAATTAAAACCGCGTACACACCGGAGCACCCCTTTGGCTCCTCAGGTTCATATTCTAAATGTCAAGCTTCGTCATACATTTCTGCCGGTTCCCTGCCCTGCCAACCCACCCTCTTTCGTTCTTCCTGGAGAATGGCTGTCAGTGCTTCAGGAAGTCAAAAGAATCACCCTGGGAAGTTTTGTCTCAGATGTTTGTTCTCACTACGAAAGTCACAACAGTTGTCAAAGGTTTCAAAGACGTTTAATAATTCAGTTAAAAGGCAGTTGTGAGAGCATAGTTAAGACAGAAAAGGGCGTCAGGGATGCCTTTGCAGGATTGTGCCAGGACGTCCATTTTTCTGTCAAGTCTCACAGCACTTTAACCCCTTCAGTACCCTTACTGAGGTTTGCTTCAGCTGACTGCTTGTTAGAATTAGGATAAATGAATGACAGCAGGGATACAAGGATGACATTATGAAACCAAATAAAAATATAATTTTCTTTTCTTTGAGAAACAAGCATAAAGTTTCTGTGAAAATACCTGCAAAATATAAAATAAAGAGGATGATAAATGAAATCAAAACTTTCATGGCTTTCACATGAGCTTCTGTGTTGAGGTCTCTGAATCTTGAGACGTGTGATTGCATCTGCTTGTTGTGTCTCCAAAGGGAAATGATTAGCAGGAAGCATGCAGTTAGCGCCATCACAAAGAGAAAAATAACTCCTGTATTGGGAAAAAAGTAGCTTATAAGTAAGTCACTTTTATCCAGGTGGTGGATCAGACAGGATGTGTTGCTATGATGCATTTTAACATGTTTAATCACCTTTGCAGTTGGTGGAAGAGAAGCTAGCCATGTTATAATTAAGCACCCTATTAGAAAGGTAAAAACTTTATCAGATCTCTTCTTCAACCAGAGGAAAATGTAGTGGGAAAAATTTGCTATCTTCAGGAAATAGAAGACACTGAGGCTGGTGCCAAACCAGACACTCAGGTGGTTAATAATCACCCATAGGTAACTGATGCATTCACTTAGATCGCTAGACATAAGCATATCCCCAAAGAAAACATTTGCAAATGCATCTAAAGTTATTATCCATATGGTAAAGATCCTGGAAATAGCCAAGCCTGTGAGAATGAAGCCAATCTTAGAGAGCTTCTTGTTTCTGACCCAGTCTGTACAGTTCACAAGTAAAATAAATGCATTCCCTAAAAGTCCCAGCACAGCCTCAGTAGTGGCAACAAAAAGGAGTATGACTTCTGCTGCACTTAGCATCTCTGCTAACTTCTAAGACTTCTCTTGTATCTGAAGTGGGTCAGCTGCTGCAGAATTGTTACAAGTAGAATTTACTTGATGTAGAAGTGATTTTTATCTCCTCTCCTTAAATAAAGACTCCAGAGTTCTTCAGGAATGTGTGATGGGAAAATGAGAGATATCTTTATTGTGTTCACTCCCGTGGCTTGTGTAAGATTTTGCTAGTCTACAGAAATGTGTGCAGACTAAATATCTTCTTGCAATTTGTTAATATGCAAATTGAAGTTTCTGTTTCATGGATTTTACTTGTCCCTCTGAGACAATTTTGCATTGAATAAGATGAATCATAAACTAAGAGTGTCATATATGTGTATATATAAATACGTAAAATAGATAAATAACAATAAAAAATCAACATTGCATCACATCTTTAAAATGTGAAAATGGGACAGGAAATAGCCCTCTGTGTGATGTAAGGGGGGGTCTACTGTAAATTAGGAGACGGTATTTTAAAGTGTGAACCAGAAAAGGCATTTAGTAGCCTACTACTGAGCAGCACATTTTGGGCAAGAGACTGAACAGAAGTGACCACATCCTTGAATGGAAGAGCGATGCATGATCACCTCTCCACTTTGACCGAGGCAACTCCTCCCACTCAAGAATAACTGTAATAAATATGCTTTGTTCTGTTAAATCTGTGACTATATGTTCTTATTCCTGATATGAGACAAAGAATCTGGAAGTCAATGGTTCAGGACTAGGATCATCCAGCAACCTTAGCTCTCCGGGTTAAGCTCACCAGGGTCAAGGGAGGCTCCTCCACACTGAAAGAACACATATAACTTGGAGGTACCGCAGAGATTTCAAGGGCACTAAAGTGGACCAGGAGGAATAACTTAGCTGTCCTCTCTCTCTCTTTCTGCTGTGCTCCTTCCCTTTGGACAGTTCAGTAGCAGACATTTAAAACTGCACATTTTATACTCTTTATCAATATAATTATTAAAAGTACTCCACCCATCCACTAAAGACACAAGTTGAAAATGCCATCCTATATAGTACTCTCTTTGAAACTAAAATCACCTTAAGCAACAATAATTTTCCCTCCTCAATGCAATCCTATCAATCTGCTTTACAGTTTCTTCAGGGTTGAATCACATTTCCTCACAGGAGACTCAAATCTGCAGTCTTTGATCCCAGATACTTGCTAGATAATATTTTGAGACGGTCTTCCATACTTTCAAAGCTCCAAATAAGTGAATGGACAGTTCATGTGTCTCAATATTAGGAGAGGTTAGAAATCCAGTTCCAGTATCTATGTATGTACTCAAACCGTACTGCACACACACACACACACACACACACACACACACGTATGTATGTATATATATACATATATGTGTGTGTATGTATATGTATATATATTCTACTGCCTATTCTCTCTATCAGAAACACAGCTGGACCTGTGCAAGCTTTCAGTTGAAAATTCCTCTTCCCTGCAGCTGATGCATTTGTGCTACCATTGAAGATTAGGAAAGATGATTTAGTCAGGGGTCTCTTTTATTTTGATGAGCCTCCAGACTGTGGGCATGTCTATGGGAAAATTAGTTTGGTTGTTTCTTGATGTAGGAAGAACTAGCCATTGTAGTTTCCACTGTTTTATGGGGTGGACCTTGTTAAAGCTAGCTTACTAAAAGGAAATAGACATCATGGGCTCATTTATTCTCTTTCTGCTCTTCAGTTAGATATACTGTGGCTAGCTGATTCACTTCCTGCCTCTGTATTTTCCTCTATCACATACTATATAACTGGAATTGTAACCCCTTTCCTTCTCTATGTTGCCTTTGGAGAGGACATTTTATCATAGCAACAGAAATGAAATTAGAATAGAGGTATTTTCATACAGAACAGAAAAGTCATAAGAGGTGTTAAGAATCTAACATTATGAGATCATATCCCAGTTTGGACTCTCATATCATCTACAGAGTGATAATGTCTTACTTTCTTTCCTGTGACCGAGATACTGTGCCAAAAGCAGCTTATGGGAGAGGAGTTTATTTTAGTTTATGGTTCTAGTCCATCAGAGTGGGTGAAAGAAAGGGATCAGGAGGCTCAAACAGCTTGTGACCTTATTACCTCAGTCAGAAGAACACAGCCTTGGATGCACACATGGTGCCTAATGCTCAGTCCCTTCTCTGATGCACAGTTCAGGATCTCCATGCCTAGGGAGTGGTGTCACTCATAGTGGGCAGGTCTTCCAGCTTCAGTTAACACAATGAAGAAAATCCCTTTGCAATCTGAGATTGGGTTTTACAGATTGAATTACACAGGGTTACACTTGCCCAGGGTCAGTTTAGAGTAACTGCTGTGGTGGCATTCCTGGATCAAATGAAGTTGTATAGTTATGACATGGGCCTTTGATATATGGGGTATAGCCTTCAGGGTGCCTTTTCTGTCGCAGTGTCAAACAGGTACTTTCTCTTTGATGAGACCAATCGTGTGAATATTTTAAGTTCTTTCTCCACATTTGCTTCATCTGCAATTTTTAAATGTACACTACTTTCTTTAGCAAACTGCATCATTAAAAAAAACATATCTTTCAGCCCTTCTTTACTGTAAATCTAAGAGTAAATAGTAAGCAATAATGATGCCACAGTTGATACTTTGCTATCTTTAAATTTCCTCTTTCAAATTAGAATGTCAGTCACCACTTCCGAATTCAGCCTCACTGATGTTTGCTGGTCATGGCTACAAAACAGCCAGATCTTTGGCCTATGGTCCTGTTCCAAGGAATTCTTGTTCTTCTCTGTATTCTTAACAATGCAGTCTTTCTTTCTGTCTTCCTATTGTCTTTCTGGTGTCCCATAACATCGTCCGCATGTTGGATGTTGTATTAAGCTGGCCATAGCTTCTGTAGCTCAGAGTACTGCTTTTCCTCATTCATCCCACAAATGAATCCCAAAGCTTTATGAAACATATGGACAGGTTTACCATAGCAACATCCCCACCTTCTGGTACCATTTTTTGCATTCATTATTTGTCTAGCTGCTACTAAAACCTATTTGATATCAATACAAAGCAAATTATGGAAAAGAACATTTATTGGACTTACACTTGGCAGGTGTGGAGAAATCTTGGTGGTGGTTGCTTGAAGCGGCTGCTTGCAATATATCCGCAGTCTGGAAGCAACCTGATAGACACACCTGCAGCTTTGTCCCTCAGATGATTCTAAATCCTGTCATCTTGGGAAACTACCACAGCTGTATACTTTACCTGCAGTTACCTTTGTCAAGCTGTCTTTACCATTTTCAAAGGGTTTTGCTTAAAGGAAACACAAAGAAACAAAATGCAGAGAGCCAACATGTTACACAACTATAAACAACACGTTATGCATATCCAATGAGTCCAACTGTGATAGTCTCTAAAATGTGTAATTTGTAATTTTTAAATCACCTTTATGTTGTCTGTGCGTGAGTGTATGCGTTCGGGCTCAGTGGTTAGCTTGTTAAATGCCTGTCTGGTGAGTGTGTGTGCATGCATAATGGGGTGGTGTGTGTATGTAGAGATGAAAGGAGAACTTGAAGAAACTGGTTCTTTGCTTCTTCTAGGTGGCCCCTTGGGATTGAACTCATATTTCCAGGTTTGGTGGCAAGGGTCCATACCCTCTAAGCTATCCCTCCTGCTTCAAATATATTCCAAAATAAGTGAAACAGCCCCTCTATGAGAATTGTTTGTAGTTATTTTATTTATTTTTCCATTTGCATAAATATTATCCTACTGCTATTCTAAAAAGAAATTTTAAAAATGAATTCTCTATTATATTCTTGAGTATTAACAATCATATACATTTAAAAATATTTATTTCCATAAGGCGGTAGGTTAACTTTTCATGGTTTAATTATCATACAAGTTTTAATGATAACTTAGAACAAAGGTTTACTTGAAATACGAAGTAACTTTGAGCAGTCATTAAGACATAAAATCCTTGTACAAATTGTTACAAAGCAGTGTTAGTTTAACTGGAAAAACCTAATATTTAAAGAGCTCAGAAAGTGAGCAATATTGAATTTCATTGTAAAATAATTTGCTTTAAAAAGCATTCATAGAAATGTTGCTATGATTAAGGCAAATTATAAGTAACTCAGAATGTCCCTAATAATTTAGAAAGAATCAGTATTTCCACATAACTGTGAAGTTATTCAGTGCGCTAGAGTTACACTCTTAAAATGGTTAAAATAAGTTATGCTGTCTGTATTTCATAATAGAAATAGTTATTAGAATTTTTCTTAAGTTATCTAAAGTCCTCCCTGTGTGCCCGGGTCACACTACGTTGCCATCTTTCAGTGTTTTCTGATGCTTCCCGGCACGGCTGTTTTCCCATTTTGAAACTACCTTATTCACTCTCCCTCACCTCAGCTTACTCAGCTTCAGTGTAAGCCATCTTCTCCTCAGTGATAACCTTTTCTCCCTAATACAACCCTGGGCAATTTGCTCGGTGACTTCCAGAAGCTTTTGTTACAAAATACAAATACGAATACTTGTCATTGCATACTACTAGACTATATTCATTATATGATACCCATTCAGCGTCTGTCAAAGTTAGTCTTCAAAAATATTTACTCAAGTTTGAGTATTGATTACTGAGAAATCAACCTTCCTGATACACCCGTGGGTTTCGGTACATGGATATGCATATGTGCATATCTGTTGCAAGCTTTAGCAGGGCATTGCTTATTTCACTCAGATCCTGGCCTGGGTCCACTCTCTGCTTTGATCAGACGCTGTTGCTTTGAATGCGTTCCCCAGCAGAATCTTTTTCTCAGCTCCAATTGATCCGTGACTGCTTCATTTCGAATACCCGGGGCTGAACAGCGTGGTGATCCTCTCGTCGTTGCTCTCGTCCCTTCTCCGACAGATGGCCTCTGAAATTCTGGGTATTGGTTACAGAGCCACATCCACTCCTCCAAACAGTTTTGCTTCTTCAAATATCCCCGGGTAACAGCCACTGTGGGACTGACTCGATGAAAGAACGAACAGTCACTATAATTGGTAAAACTGAGCACAGAGGAAGCGCCTTTCCCCGCTCTTGAGTTTAAGGTAGTAAATGTGAAGAGCGCCCGCAACTATCTGCCTTGGTTCCTTTGTCCGTGAGTCCTTCTGGGGAAAGGGTATCAGATTTATAACAATGAAATCGTGTTTGACTTCTATTCTAAATGTGTAAGTTTATTTGGAGAAGTCTGCAGGTTGATGTTTTTCCTCTGCCAAGTGCGTGGGCAGAGTAGGAGGCTGACTGAGCAATCAAATTTTCATGTAGTATTGAAATCCTACCATACGGTGAGGTTCCAAGACATATAGTCACAACAGTTGCAGAAGATTTTCATAAAGTTTAATACAACAGTGAAAAACCAATATGAAGGATCTGGCCAGAAAGTTCTTTGGGTATAAATGATTGCTGTGGAAACCACGTGAGCTAAGTTCGATCCATGGAGCCCTTATTAAAACAACTGGCTGCAATGGCATGCATCTGTAATTCCAGAACTCTACTGTGAGAAAGGAGGTGTAGATGGGTGAATTGTCTGAAAGCTCTGAGCTCAGCTAGCCAGAGACATCAAAGTGTCGGCAACAAAAGACACCCTTCCTGAAGGTGGAGGGAGACAGCCAGCTCTTTGGCCCGTCTGTGTTAGAAGCAACACCAACACATCTTCCACCTCCTATAACACACACACACACACACACACACACACACACACACACACACACACACACACACAGATATCATAGACAGAGACAGAGACAGAGACAGACAGATACCCACACAGGACAATAAATAAAAATTGAAAAGAAGCTGAAACATTTCCCCAAATACAATGTAAGAGCATTGTTCAAATGAAAAAGACGTATAATTTCCTTCCTATCATTCCAGACTACCACGTGGTCCTGAGATCTCTTCCTTTCTCACAGCATTTTAACCCCTTCAGTACCCTCACGGAGGCTTGCTTCAGCTGCCTGCTTGTTAGAATTAGAATAAATGAATGACAACTCGGATACATGGATGACATTATGAAACCAAAAATAAAGAGCAACTTGTTTTTCGGGATAAATAGGCATATGATTTCTATTGAAATACCTGTAAAATGAAAGATGAAAAGGATGATAAAAGAAATCAAGACTTTGATGGTTTTCACATGAGCTTCTGTGTTGAGGTCTCGGAATCCTGAGCCATTAGATTGCATCCTCTTGCTGTGTCTCCAAAGAGAAATGATTAAAAAGAAACATGTAGTCAGGGTCATCATAAAGAGAGAAATGATTCCAATGTTGACTAAAACATAGTTAATAATTGTTTCCCTTTTCTCCAGGAAGATCTCCCAAGTTCTGTTTATATGCCTCATTTGATTATCCTTCATTATCTTCACAACGAGTGAGTAGGAGATTAGCAATGAGATTAGCAAGTATCCCACTAGAAAGAAAAACACTTTATCAGTCCTCCTCTTTAACCAGAGAAATACACAGTGTGAAAAATTTGCTATCTTCAGGAAATAGAAGATGCTGAGGCTGGCAGCAAACCAGACATTCAGGTGATTCACAGTCACCCATATGTAGCTGATGCTTTTCGTTAGACTGCTAGACCAATGCATAGTCGGAAAGAATAACTTTGTACAGGCATCTAAAGTTATTATCCATATGGTAAAAATCCTGGAAGTCGCCAAACCAGTGAGAAGGAAGCCAATCTTAGGGAGCTTCTTGTTCTTGGCCCAGTCCACACAGTTGGCAAGCACAATGACTGAGTTCCCTAAGACGCCCAGCACAACTTCAGTAGTTGCAACAGAAAGGAGGACTTCTGCTGCCCTCAGCATGTCTGCAGACCCACACAGTTGCTTCTGTTGCATCTATAATATATTACCTGTTGCTGAATGTCCTCTGTATTGACTGACTGTTAGAATACTTTTTCTTTCTTTCTCAAATAAAGGCTTCAAAGCATTAAGAATATGTCGTGGTGGAATCTGTGTGCAGACTAGATATCTTATTGTGTTTTGCTTATAGGCAAATGACAGTTTCTGTTTCATGTATTTTGCTTCTTTCTTAGACTACTTTACATGGAATAAGTCTGGTTGTTGAGTAGGAGTGGTGATATATAACAGGACTTAAACAACAGGAACAACACTGAATTTCATGCTTTAAATATGAACTCACCATCATGAGTTGGGTAAGATAGTATATGTTTATAGTACCAGCTCTTTGAGAGTTGTGAGTTTGAGACCAGCTAGCTCACCCACAGCTTTCTTATGAAGGAAAGAAAATTCCACAACACTAAAACCAATAAGATTTTAAGAAAGGAAAAGAAGCAAAGGAGAAAATTAACCATAATTTCATTGTTTATAGACATAATCTGAAGGTACAAATAAAAAAACTAATGAGATAGCCACTTTATCCTGGGATATTGAATTATTGTTTAATTAAAATGTAAGCTCCTTTGTTGGTATGGTAAGTTTCAGAATGACAAAAAGTTGTATTTGTACTTAATAGTTGTATTTAGTGATAGGTTTCATAAAGATATTCTGACTCAACTACATCATGATTTTAATATTTTAAACTTCCACTATTGTTCTCTTCTTTTTCTTTTCTATTTCTTAGACAATTTTTCAACTATTTTCATGTCAAGTGTGTGTGTGTGTGTGTTTATATATTTACATATATGTTCTATCTATATAAAATCTGTTTTTTTTGGTTTGACAACATTTAGTATTTGAACTTAATACGTTATAGATATATGGGTAGATAATGAATATTTCACTTCATTCTGCAGGCTGCCTATTTTCTTTGCTCATGGAGACAAAATGCTCAAAATTTGTCTTTCTGAGGCTGACCTAGTTTGCTCCAGTTGCATCCATTTTTGTACAGATGACATACTTCACTAATCTTTACTGAAGAATTGATCTCCATCTCCTTTTTCTGTTCTGTTCTACATGGACACCAAGGCAGTTTCTTTAACATGAAAAATGTGAACAGTGTTGCAATAAGCACGAAGTCCAAGGGTCTTTGATGTATAGTCAATATTACTATAGATAGGCCACATGGTAGTTCTATTTATGCTTTTGAAGACTAAGTTACATTCCCACCAGCAATGCCGCTGTCAGCATTTGTTGTAATTTGTTTTCTTGATGACAGCCATTCTGACTTGGGTGAGATGGAATTTCAGTTAGTTTTAATTTGTGTTCCCTGCGTAGCCAAGGTTGTTGAATAGTATTTGAAATATTTATTGGCATTTGTGAGTTTTCTAAGAGTTGATTTTTTTCATCTCACTAGCCCATTTAATTATTAAGTTGTTTGGTTTGGTGTTTTTTTTAGTACTTTGAACTCATCCTTTTTTATAGGTATTAATCCTGTGTTGAATATATGGCTAGACAATAAAGATTTATTCCCATTCTGTAAGCTGTCTCCTCACTCAACTAGCTATTTCTTTTGCTGATTTACAGAGTTGCTGACTTAATTATATATATTTCTCTTTTCCTTCCATGTCAGTAACAGTTTCAGCCTCAATGTCCAATGACCAAAGATTGCCCTGTTTTCTTCCATGGGGTCTTAATATAAAGTTCTAGTGGGTAAGCAACACCTGTGGCAACAGGCTGTTTTGTTTTCAAGGCCTGAGGACCCCCTCCCTGACTGAAAACTTGAAGGACAATATTTGCCATTGAAATTTTGTTTGCTGGTGTCAATGGCATAAAGAAGCATAGAATCATTTCATGGGTGCGCTGATCTATTTTTCCATTACTATTTTTCTAACTACTTATCACTATTATGACCATACTACTATATGAAATACCCAACATAATAAGAACTTTGTGGTTTAACGGGGAAAAATAAAGGAAACTTGCTGGGTGGTGGAGGTGCACATCTTTAATTCTGTTACTTGGGAGGCAGTGGTAGGCAAATCTATAGAGTGAGTTCCAGTACAGCTAGGGCCAAACAAAGAAACGCTGAGTCAAAAAAAAAAAAAAAAAAAAAAAAAAAACCAACAACAACAACAACAACAACAACAACAAAAAAAAAAAAAACAAAAAGCAAAACAAAACAAAACAAAAAACCCCAAACCGAACCAAATAAAATAAAAAAAATAAAAATAAAAAAATAAAAAACTCCAACCAACCAACTAAATAAAGATAACTTTATAAGAAGTAAAAATGTGCACAAAAGTTTCATGTTCCAAATGCCAAGATTGATTATAACTGTCTATCTTGGTTTCCATTTCTTTTGGTCTTCTGGGTAAAGGGTGTCAGTGGTTCAGGAAAACCAAGGCAATAATAATGAGGTCTTGTTTTGGATGTTAGGCACAGCAAGGAGTCTTTCTTTATATCAGATAGTCTATGGTTGATGTTTTCCCTCTGGTGAATGTACGGGAAGAAGTTAAGGAGTCAGAAAATTGACTGTACAAATGGACCTGTAAGTAACATTAAAATCCCACCGGTGGGTGTGATTCCTTGAGAGGCAGTCATGACAGTTCAGAAAATTCTAGATGTTTGATAATAGCTGAAATCAATAAAAGAACACAGTACAAAAGAAAAGGGGCTTCAGGGATTTTTTTCCCACCAAACTCTTCCAGATCATTCATTTCTCTTCCAGATTGTCATGTGGCGCTGGTATATTTTCCTTTCTTAGAGCACTTTAAGTGTAGTAATATCCTTACAGAGACTTGCTTCAGCCAGCTGTTTGGTAGAATTAGGATAAATGAGTAATAGCAGGGATACATAAATGCACTTGTCAAACCAAACATGAATAGCAGGTTGCTTTCTGGGATGAAAAGATATATTACATTGATGCTAACACACATGAAATATAATATAAAAAGGATGATAAAAAGATATTAAAACTTTTACTGCTTTTATATGAACTTCAGTGTTGAGGTCTCTGAATCCTGATTCATTTAATTGCATCCTCTTGCTGGATCTCCAAAGGGAAATGATTAGCAGAAAACATACAATTAACATTACCATAAAGAATGAAAATACTCCCTCATTGGTGAAAGCATAGTGAAGGATTAACTCACTTTTCTTCATGTGGATCTGCCAGGGTGTGTTTATATATGGTACTTTATTGCCTTTAACTATCTTCACAACTACAGGGAAAGAAAATAACCATGACACAAGCAAGCAGAAAGAGAAAAACCATATTAATTTTTCTTTTTAAACAGAGAAATACATAGTGGGAAAAATTTACTATCTTCACGAAATAGAAGATACTGAGACTGGCTGCAAACCAGACACTCAACTGACTGATAACTAGCCATAGATAACTGATGTGTTCAGTGATGTTGATAGGAGACAGAAACTGTGGAGAGATTATCCTAATGTATGTCTCTGAGATTAACATCCACATGAGGCAAAATCTGAATATCGCCAAGCTTATGAGAATGAAGAGAGCCTCTTGCTCCTGGCACAGTCTGTGCAGTACACAAGGGAAAAGAATCTGTCCCCTAAAACTCCCAGCACGGCCTCACTAGTTGCAATGGAAAGGAGGACACCTTCCACTGCATTCAACATCTCTGCTGATGTTTATTTAAGCTGGCTTCCACTGCAGCTGCTTTAGATTATCCAATGTAGAATATCCCATCTATTGGATGCCCAATAAAGGAGTGACTTTATCTTCCTCCTCTAAAGACTTCAACACACCCAAAAAGTCTTTGTGGTGGAATGTGAAATGTCTTCATTGAGTTCCCTCCAGCTGCTCCCATAAGTCTTAGCTTTGTCTACAGGATGCAGCAGACTGAATATCTCCCTTGCAATGTGTTAGTAGGTAAATGAGTGTTTCTGCTTTGGCTGTTTTACCTGTCCCTGTGAGACTATTTTGCATTTGAAGAAGTGTTGGGTTTTGAGGTCCATGGTCTGACAGAGGGAAAGGAGGAGGACACAGTAGCCTGGGGCATTGATGAGAGACTGAACAGTGGCAGACTGAACAAACATACTTTGTTCACTCTTGATGAAGGCTTCAGGTCAGATATGCCAGTAGGAACCCAAGCACATTCTGGTACTGAAGGGCCACACACAGGTGGGCAGTATGCAAGGCTGCACAGATGTAAGGATGAGATCCCAACTCACACCTACTGGCAGGATGGTGAAGTGGGAAATGAAGATGAGGTTCTCTAACCTCAGAATCATCCAAAAGTGGTACTCAGCCTAAAGTTGGTATTTAATAGATTGCTGTGCTTTTGGGTTTCCCCACCCATTTGATGTTAGCTATTTTGTGCTGATTTATTCTGAATACCTATATCAATACTACATTATATAAACATACACTGGCCTTAGATGTTCTGTTTCACAGAGATATGTGTAGCAAGGATAGAAAGCACAAAATCTAACACTGGTTTTCATCTTTTAATTGTGGAAGCCAGTATCACTAGATGGTCATAGGCATATACTTAAGTCCATGCACTCTACTACCCTGGGACAGTAGAATCATTTGTCTTCAAGGGTTTAAGGCCAGCCTGGGTAACACAGTGACAGCTCTCTTCTGGGGGGGACCCTCATAATTCCAAATAAACAAAAAGAAAAAAGGAAAGGAACAAAAAAAAAAAAAGGGAGAAAAAAATCATCATAATTTGTAGCATGAATAATAAACACCCACGGACAGATATTGGGGTTAAAGTTGAAGATCAGAGAAACAAAGCCACCAAGCTACCAGAGAGCTCTCTTACCTTTATCCTGGCTGGGGCAATCCTGACCTCAACATGGCTTGAGACTAATTGCCAGAATACGAGAACTTGCTCCTATTTTATATACCTCCCCAGTGCTGGGATTAAAGGCATGAACTCCATTTCTCTTTAAGACTGATTCACTCTCATGTAGCCCTGGGTGGCCTTAAA